TTTATTAATAATTTCTAAGAAATTAGAAATTAAAGAATATTTGTTTTACTATAGTACAAAAGTATATAACTTACATTTGATTTACTTGAGTATTTATATATTAACAAATTGGTAATTAATCATAATTGATTTTCTATAAATGAAACTATTGATAGAGTTGATATCACAGATTAATTAATATGGATTATATAAAGTAATAGAAGTATAATAATTAGTAGAGAACTTAAGGAAAATAATACATATATTGTTGAACATAAAAATATTAGAAAGGAAGGCTTATTTATAAATAAAAATTCAAATTATTCAATATCTACTTCTTCATTCTTATTTTATATCTTTATTTGATATTTTTAGTTTTCCTTTAGTTAAAATCAATTGTTCTTTTTGTTTTACAGAATTATTTTTTGTTTAAAGTATTATTGCCAAAGGACTTTGAGAAGTATTACTATTTCGTTTTTTGAATTATGAAGGTGATGTTGCAATTTTATACCTCTATTCTAAACTCATTCTTTTAGAATTTTAGATGTCTGGTTTTAATTTATTTTAGTTTCTTTATTTTCCTTGTATTTCATTTAAATTGTTAGGTTCACTTTAAATACCTAAAGACAATTATGAAGAAGAATTCTTTATAATATCATTATTAAGATTTTATTCTTCCTTTTCATATTTAGATTCTTCTGTTATAAGAAATCTGGGATTTAAAATATAATTCTTAGTTAAGGATGGGCAAAAACACTGATCATAATCCTCAAATTCAACATTTTCTTATTCTTATTTAATTGACTATGTCAAATGTTTTGTAACATGGAACTCTTTTGATTTAGATTTTGGAATTTATCCACAAACAATTCCCATTTTAATTAAAAGATTCAATTATATAATTGTGTGATTAAAGTAAAATTCTGGCAAATGACTTTTAATGAACTAAATATTTATGAATAATTAAAATAATTATAATAATAATCATAATTGAAAGAGAATTATATTTCTTATTATGTCATTTAATTCTTCCATATAATATAGAATTTAAAGGAAGTAAATGAGTTGTTCTTCTTTATATTTCTGGTAGATGAACTCTTTCAAGGGTTTAAGGATTAGGTAATGTTTTAAGTCTAAAACTTAATGGACTAGAAATTTGAGGAGCTGAATTAGTTTGTAAAATTGGGAATGAATTCTTGAAAGATGCTTTGACATTTTTGGGTTTATTTTGATTTTATAATTTAGACTTAATTTATTATTGTAATTCTCTAATTAATTTTTCTCTTTAAAACCATTTATGATTTAATGCTTAATGAGATGAAAGTCTTTCTTAAGGATCTAATTTAAGAAGACCTTTAAGTAAATCTGATGCTAAGATGCTCACCTTAATGTCATGAAAATCAATATTTCCAATTAAATTTTGAATGACTTTTTCTTGATAATTACCATCAAATGGTTCCTTACCTGTGAATAAAATAAAGAGTAAGATTCCAACACTATAAACATCACATTTGAGATCATAATTTTAATCAGCTAATACTTCAGGTGCAACATATCCTACAGTTCCACATCTTTTAAATTAATAATTTCCTTCATCATCATAGAATTCAGCTAATTTGAAATCTGTTAAACATAAACTATCTAAATTATCTAATTATCTGAAAATAAAATTTTCAAGTTTTATGTCTCTATGCATAATCTTTTTAGAATGAAGATAAGCAACTATTTTTATTATTCTAAATATTGCTTTAGCAGCTTTTTCTTCTGAAAAAAAAGGATTCTTTTAAACATATTCTTAAAAAGTATATGGAGGTAAATTTTCCACAATTACAAAAATTTGATCTGGACTTTCAAATAGATCATAAAATTTGATTGTTAAATCTGTTGATAATTAACGAATCACTGATATTTCTTTAAAAAAAGATTATCTATCTTCATCATCATAAATTTATGATTTTTAATATACTTTGATAATATATTCTGAATTATCTAATTTATTTTTTCCTTTAAATGACTCTCCAAATTTTATTTTGTTGAGTTTTTTAATAAGAGTATAATAACGATTGAAATCATATTAGACTGCAAACCTTTTCATAAATTTATACCAATTATTAGCATTACCAAAGAATTCAACTTTATCAAAACATTTTGTTAAACGAACTCCTATACCCAATTCCTAATCAGATATCAATTCTATAATAGCATTTTCATAATTAATCCATAAAATTTTTTCCTAACAATTAATTCACTGCATACATTTTTATTTTTATAATATATATACTGATCTAAAAGTTTATAAGTTCTTCTCTTAATTTATTACTTTTTGCTTATACAAACTATATCATCTTCTATATTAAAAATAGTAGGAAGAAATGGTAGATTAGATTTATTCCACTTCATTTCTTAAAAGGAAATCTAAAAAAAAGAACGACAATGTTTATAATTACAGCTATATAACATATTTAAAATTACCTTGGATTCAAATCTTCATACATATCTTTAAATTAATTTAAACTTTTTATTATTAATATTAATAATAATCAATTATGTATCAAAAAGTTTGATAAATCACTTAATTCACAGAACAAATAATTTTATACATAATTTTAAATCATAATTATTATAGAGGTATTTAAAATCTTCGAACCTATCTTAATTTATAACCACCTGATGTTCTAGGAGTATTGATAGGTTTAAGAATCACAGGAGTATTTGGTGTCTAAGGACTATCTTCAATATTACATTTTGTAACACAATAAGGACTGAGGTTTGATACAGAACTTTTTGGACTAAATTAAGTTAAAATAGCAGAATATTATTTAATGTTTGTATCAAAATAGGCTAATTTCTTTGTAGTAGTTTGATTTTATTTTCTAATTTTAAATTAACATATTTTTGTTAGGTTTTCACTAGCAAACCAAGGATGATTTAAAGCTTCTTCAGCATTTAATCTCTTAATAGGATTCTTGTTCATAAGTCCTTAAAGTAAATCCATACCTATATCACTTAATTTACAATCTTCAAATTTAACTTTAGCATAATAATTTCTCATGACAACATCATCATAATCCTTTCCATCAAAAGGTGATTTTCCTGCAATTAAAATAAACATTAGAATTCCTATACTATAAATATCTATTTTGAAATCATATATTTTATCTTATAATAATTCTGGAGCAACATATCCAGGAGTACCACATCTAGTAAATAAGTATTATCCACTTGGAGAATAATAATCAGCTAATCCAAAATCTCCTATACAAATATTTTCAACATCTTCTTTATTTCTTAACATAATATTTTCTGGTTTGATATCTCTATGTAAAATTCCTTTTTCATGTATAGATGAAACTGCTTTCAATAATCTAAATATTAATTTAGAGCATTTTTCTTCTGAAAAAGGAGGTGACTTCTTCATATATTAATGTAATTCACCTCCTTTCAAATATTCTAAGACTAAAAATAAAAATTCTTCTCCTTCAAAAACTTCATATAAATGGATAATGGATTCATGTTAAATTTTTTTCATAATTGATATTTCCTTGATTATAGCTAATCTATCTACACTTTCATTTAATTTAGCTTTTCTGAAACATTTTATTGCATATTCAGATCCATCATTCTTGTTAACAGCTTTAAATACCTAGATTTTATAAAATATCTTACATCTGCAAAATTTCCTTATCCAATCTTCTTCAATAATGTGTAATGATGAGAAAAATTCCTTTGAATACAAAATTATTTCAGATAATTGTACCACGGTTCTACATCTCCAAAGAACTCAAAATATTGTTTATTTTTTGTAATTTTAATTCCAAGTCCTACTTTCTAATGTTTAATATATTCAATTGTAGCATTATCTAAATTGATCCATTTCTTGATAGTCTATTGGTTATTGTACCAAACTTACTTGTTTTTTGAAATAAAGTAAATAATGATTAGAGATACCTAGAGTTCCTTTTTGTAATTCTTAATCTTGATCTATGTACATAGTATCATGCAAATCCAAAACTGCATCTTTTGTTGGATATTCAGTGACATTCCAAAATACAGAAGTATCAGGATCGTCAAAAAAAGAATCTTTATTAATCACATCCATATTAGCTTTTTATTATATAAAATTTAGATATAAGTAATTTCATTTAATATTATATTTCCAAGATAAAAAATAAGATTTATTTCCTATGTAGTTAGTTACTCATTTTTAGATTACTTATATTTAAATTAAAATATAAATGATAGTCAAGAGAATCAAAATATTAATATCATTACAAAGAATTAAGAAATCTAAATATTTTCAATTGGAATTCTTAATCTTTAATGATGTGATTAAATATTAATTTTTTTTTATTTTATATATTTACATGTAATAATCACATAACTCGGCATATTAATTGAAAATTGTAAACACTGAAACCAGATCAGATATTGTTTACTATCAAATTTAAGTATTATATAGAATTATATTTAAGGTTTTAAATACATAAACAAAAGTTTCATGGAGCTTTGAAGAAAGATATAAAAATCTGAATAATTTACACACACAATTATCTTCAGAACTTAAACAACAACTTCCATCCTTTCCAGCTAAAAAGTTTTTCGGAAACACTGATCCTGAGTTTATTTCAACAAGAAAGGCTGGATTATAGAATTATTTTAAGACTTTGCTTCAAATAGTAGATGCAGATTAGTGTCCAACTTTAAAGAAATTTTTAACCAAAGGAGAACAAAAACATATTAAAGATTAATAACAACCTTTTAAAGAAGACTCTATTAAGTAAAATGATATATAAGGTAATGCGTCAACAATAGAAAAAATACAACAATAAAAGTAATAAGAAAATGAAAGGATAAAGAAAGAATTAAAAGAAAAATTGGCAGCTGCAACTTAATAAATCAAATAAAAATTCGTTGATTTAGGTAGTCTAGTCAATGCACCAGAAGAACATGATATTAAAAAAAAGAGAGCAATTTATGATTAAATTCGTATAGAACAAAAAGTAATTATTTATTATTATTATTTAGAATGCTTTTATAATAGATATTCCTAAACCAAGTTAATAATCTAAAATGATGATTGCTTAATCTACGATAGAGCAAACATAACCAAAATTAATATAGTTGATATCATAATTACAATCTGGAGTAGAGAGCATAATAGGAATTTGAGTATTTACATAAGCACAAGATATTTTACTATATATTTTAAATTATAGAAACTGTCTTTAATAATGTTAACCATCTTAGAAAAGTTTGACATATTTGGTGTGCCTATTAAGTTGAAAACTATTAAATAATAAGAGTAGTTTAAGACATCTCAAAGTGGAGTGATAACAATCATAATTATGATTTTAAGCTTAGCTTATTTCATTTATGTAATGTAACAATGGATTAATGGATAATTAATTCCTAAAGTTACAAGTTCTTAAAGAATGATTGATTATACTACTTATGAATGGTAAAATGGTGAAATCTCTTTCACTCTATATGATTTAAGCTCAAAGATAAATCCCTTCACAAAACAAAACAACATTATTATGACAGTATTATTGGAGATCTCAGGATTATATGTTTCTGCTAAACCTAGATTTTTATATAGTACATTATAAATGAATGGAGATAAAAATGTTATTACTATTGATAAAGGTAAATTAGTATTAAGTTAAATTGATGGGACGAAAGAAGAGAATCAAGAAAATATCAAATAATATTTTGTATTTTTTACAAAATGTCGCTAAGATTGGATGGAAGAAGGGGGATATTGTGCTGATCCATAAGAAATTGAAGATTATTTCAGTACAAATCATGGATTATTATTTTTATCAATAAATCTATAGTAATACAATTATGAGACTTTGGAATTTGATGAAATTAAAAAAACTTAATTCTTCGCCTTTGAAGAAAGTAGTCCTTTTTATTCTTAAGTGATTTTATAAAAATAATTAACTACTATTGATAATGGAGTATTATTAAATAGCTTTGAAAAATTTGAAGTAATTAAGGATTATTAAGTAAATACTTAAGCAGTGTCAAAGAAATTTGCCTAGGATACAATAAAAACTTAAGATGGTTCTAAATACGAATTTGAATCATTGTGTACATTTGTCTTTAGGATTGATAACATTGAAGCAAATGAAACTATTCTAATGCCAAAATTAGGAGAAGTATTAGCTTAAATTGGATCAATTGTAAATATAATAATGTTATTGAAAATACTCTCTAACATGATTAATACAACAATGTTAGAGAGTACAATATTGCATCAAATAATAGAAATTTATTATCCATAATTTAAGTAAGTTTAAATTAAAAAGAACTTTTTAGGTTAAATTAAATAAGTAAGATATAAAGGTGTTGAAATTAAGTTAGCCCATTTTTAACATAAATACAATTAATTATTAGAAATTGCAAGAATGAAATTCACTTTCAATAATTTAATTTAGGAGTTATCTCGTGTTTAATTGGTTTTAGTAAATTAGATAGGAATGGAAAATATAAAAAATATATTTAAGATAGAGGAGGATTTAAAGTTCTTTGAGCAGGATAGATCATCATCAAATTCTAATTTTTAAGTGTAGAATTTAGTTTCGATTTCACCTGAAGAATCACCAAAACCATAAGAATTTGAAAGGTTTATATTGTTTAATACAGAATTTTGATAATGACTATTATTTAAATACATAGATATTAAAAATCATACGTCATAAATAAAAGTGTAAATGTTAACATTTGACAAATATCCATTCTTGGCCTAACTTGGTTTAAAAGCTGAAAATTATGGAGCATCTCTTAGTGGAACATGGGTTGGAGATGGAGAGTGGACTACTAGTTATAATCCAAATACAGGAGAAGCTATAGCAAAAGTTAAATTAGGAACACTCTAATAATATGAATAAGGCATGTAAGAACTTTTGAAGGTTAAAAATATGTGGGCTGAAGTATTAGATATATTTAAATTAGTTACCTATCCCAAGAAGAGGAGATATAGTCAGATAAATAGGAGATGAGTTTAGAAAATAGAAGGAAGCCTTAGGAATGTTAGTTGCTTTGGAAATGGGTAAAATTAAATCTGAAGGTCTGGGTGAAGTATAAGAAATCATAGACATTTGTGATATGGCATGTGGATTATCGAGATCATTATATGGATTAGTAATTCCATCAGAGAGACCATCACATTTTATGATGGAATAATGGAATCCCTTAGGTGTAATAGGAATTATTACAGCATTTAACTTTCCAGTTGCAGTATTAGGTTGGAATTTAGCACTTGGATTAATTTGTGGTGATGTTTGTGTTTGGAAAGGAGCACCTTCAACAAATTTATCATCCATTGCTTGTACCAATATTATTCATGAAGTCTTTAAAAGAAATGGAGTAAACTACTAAATATTATCTATTAGTTACCAACAAGTATAGTATTCACTATTTGTGGAGATGGTGTATAAATTGGAGAAGCAATAACAAGTGATAAAAGAATTCCATTAGTATCCTTTACAGGTTCCACTTAAGTAGGTAAAATCATTGCTGCAAAGGTGGCTTCCAGATTAGCCAGAAGTCTATTGGAATTAGGAGGAAACAATGCCAAGATTGTTCATGAAGATGCAAATGTTGATTTAGCACTTAAGGCTGCAGTATTTGCAGCTGTTGGTACATGTGGATAAAGATGTACATCATTAAGAAGATTGTTGTTACATAATAGTATTGCAGAAACATTTATTCAAAAAATGGTTAAAGTTTATGCTACCATTAAAATTGGAAATGCTTTAAATGATGGTAATTAATTCTTTTATTTTTAGATACCTTATGTGGTCCACTTCATACAAGAGGATAAGTTGAATAATACAAAAAAGTTATCCCTGAAATTTAAGCATAAGGAGGAAAATTACTTTATGGAGGAAACGTAATTGAAGGTCCAGGAAACTTTGTTTAACCAACAATCTTTGAAGTTAGAGCTGATCATCCTATTTTATAACATGAACTCTTTATGCCTATCTTATTTATTGTTAGATATGATACTTTAGATGAAGCTATTGAGATTAACAATAATGTACCTTAAGGTTTGAGCAGTTCATTATTCACTTCAAATTTAAGCAATTCATACAAATGGACAGGACCTTTAGGATCAGATTGTGGTATTGTAAATGTTAATATTGGAACATCTGGAGCTGAAATTGGAGGAGCTTTCGGAGGTGAAAAAGAAACAGGTGGTGGTAGAGAATCAGGAAGTGATTCATGGAAAACTTATATGAGAAGGTCAACATGCACTATTAATTTTGGTAAAACCTTACCCCTTGCTTAAGGAGTTAAATTTGATATTTGAAAACATTATTATTGTACAAAATGTTAACACAAAAATTTCAATTTATTTAATTATTTTCATTAACAATTAATTCTTATAATCATACTGTGATTAAAATTTATAAGAATAATTTTATAGTGTAATAAATGTATTAATATTTTACTAATTAAATAAATTAGAATATTTGGTTAATATAATCTATTGATAAATATACAAATTTAGTTGTATGTAGATTTTTATTCTAAATAGAAAAAATTATATCAATCCAAAATGAAAATTGAGAATATAAGGGAAATTCTTAAGTTTTTTCATGATGATAAGTATAGAGTCAATAAATGTTTGTATTTTCTGGAAAAAAACTTTATTAAAATCTATTTTATTTATAATTTACTATAAAAATGCATTAAATATCAACTAAGGAAGGCAAATATTTGTATGGCTTATATGTTCTATGTTAAGGAAATATTATATCTAGTTCGTAGAAGGGATATCTAAAGGGTATGGTGTTGTAGTTTATTAGATTTATTAATATAAAAGGATTAGTAAATATTGGAGATTGTTAATGATTTTAACAAAGAAGAATGTTTATAAGAATTACAAATAAAACTTTAAGAGATTTTGATTGGTAAAGCATAAATTATAATTATTGAGATCTGTCAAGTGAATCTTAAAGTTTAGCTGGTAATACTCCAATTCATTAATAATGGTATGATTAGTTTGGATTATAAAGGTGTTATAGATCATAGGATAACAATATATGGGTGCTTAATTAATTGGGAATAAAGGAAAGCTAAATGAGATACTCATATAAGTTCTTAGAAACACAAACTAGCTCTTAGAAAAGAGATACTCCAAGAGAAGAATTAGAAGATTAATTCTAGTGATACTAAAAGGTTATGAAATATATTTATTAACAGATGAGTAATAATATTAATATTTTCAATAATTAATGAGTGAAGAGTGTGTAGAATAAAGACCTGAGACATCAAAATGTTCTCGATTGGAAAAAAGGAGAATAGTAAGTTAGAATTCGTAAAGAAATCGTACTGCAATATAAAGCAGAACTGCTTAAAATTTTAATCCAAATAGTTATAATGGGATGACATTAGAAGAATATTTTAGAAATAAAGTTTAAGAGAATAATAATGTATAAGTAGATAAAAAAAAAAAAGTAGTGAAGTTTTATATAATAGTTTTTGGTTACGAGTAATGAATTCTTTAAAGAATTCTAAAATTAAGATGTTATGAGAAGAACATATATGGGAGATAGCAAATATATGAATATGAAGTAGGATATGAAAAAGAAAATATAAGATTATGATAAGGATTTGTTTTAAAAATATGCTAAATAATTTGATTTGGGAAATGGTTTTGGAAAGTGAATTTATTATATATATTCACAATTTTTAAATAAAATAAATAAAAGATTTCAATATTTATGGGTAAGTAATATGCAAGAGAGCCAGCTGTTGCTAAGAAATCATGTAAAGCTAAGGCTAGTGATTTAAGAACACATTTTAAAAATACTTATGAAGTGGCAAGAGCAATTAAAGGATAAACACTTGCATAAGCATTAAAATATTTATAAGATGTATTATAACATAAAAGATGTGTTCCATTTACTCGTTTTAATGGTGGAGTAGGTAGAACAGCATAAGCAAAAGAATTTGGTAGATCATAAGGTAAATTAAGCATACAAATTATTATTTAGGTAGATGGCCAGAAAAGAGTGTAAGAATTGTTTTATCATTATTGTAAAATTTGGCTGCAAATGCTTAAGTTAAAAATTTAAGTAATGAAAAATTGATCATAAATCATGTTTAAGTAAATAGAGCATAAAAGGGTAGACGTAGAACTTATAGAGCACATGGAAGAATTAATCGTAAAAAATTAAAATATTGCAGCATTTTTATCATCCAATGCTCATATTGAATTATGGGCTGCAGAAAAAGATGAAAATGTTAAAAAGGAAACAAATAATCAATAGGTGGCTCGTTAATCAAGAAAATAAGTGGCTAGATCAAAATTATCTATTGGTGCATGAATTTATAATAATACATATTAAATATTAATTTTATGAATAACCCTTCTCGTTTTCGATAAAGTTCGAATACTTAAAGTGTTAATTATTTACCAGTCTGGAAACAAAATGATTCTGAAGAAAGAAAGAAATATCAAATAATTCTTTTACCTGTAAATTAACCTAGAGAAGATTACATAATTAGTTCAATTTATTAGATGTTTAATACTCAAGATATAGAAGTGAATAAACTTATTTATTATTACTTTTATAAACTAAAAGAGAGTGGTCCTCATTAATTCTTAACAAATAAATTATATTAGATATAACAAGAAGAATTAGAATTTTTCATTCCTTAATTAGTGTAAATAATAAATTTTTAAATAAACTTAGGTATATACTTATAAAGTATGATTCTCCATATTTAGAAAAATTTATAACAACATTGTGTAATAAAAGTATAGCATTATATTAACTTATAAAATGGTGTTGGGTTTCTTATTCTGACAAGGATAGAACAGATAAAAATAAAATGAAGAGATTATAAAGAATAGACGATGTAAAAATTAAAATTACCTTACTAGTAATTTGAATAATCGATGTTAACTTTACATAATGATCATAGTGCAGTCAAAATTCCTAATTTATAATTAAAATCTTATTAGAGTGTTGTAGATCTTTATTTAAACAACCTGATTTAAATGTCATTAATACTTAAAACATATAAACCAGAGGACAGAAAACCAAAATTAAAAAATTTTATCACAAGAGCAAATGTGGCTCTAGAGAAATATCGATTGAAACATTAAGAATATTATTTTTGTTAAGGAATTACTGTACCATTTACTATGAGCAAAGATTAGAATGTTGCTGTACATTCAAATTTAGTAGTTAGAATTATAGAAGGAGAATGTTCATGTTTCAATACTAAAAAAAGAGTTCCTTATAGAATTGTTGTGGAAACTATTGAGTATAAGAAAATATTATTTATAGTCCTCATGAATTAAAATATAAACAACCAAAAAAGACTACAAATAATTCAATAACTAATAATAGATCATTTGCAAATTTAGATGATGATACAATGGAAGATTTTTTGTAAGCTGATTTAAATCAACCAAATAAATAGGAAATAGAAAAAAAAATGGAAGAATTGGCTAAAAATAGAAATAAAAAAGAATATAGTGATTTAATGAAAATAACCTAAGATAAGGAACCAAAAAAAGGAATAAAAATGTTTAAAAATATGATGAGTGTTGTTTATTTATCTAAAAAAGAGAATACAACAGAAAGTGAATAAGATTAGGAATTAATTTTAAAAGAAAATATGATGAAAAATT